ACACACACAGACACACAGACACACACACACACACAGACACACAGACACACACACACACACACACACACACACACACACACACACACACAGAGTGGGCGCGTACAGTGGGATTTATGGCTGTGAGACAGACTAGTTTCTTAGACTTACAGTCATTCTAGTCAGGGGTTTGGAGCGACAGTCTGCTAGGATTGCAGGGTTGGTGTGAGAAAAGTCGACCGCTTTTCTCTCTCAAGGACGACTATCACTAACTCTGGGCGACGTGGTGAGAGTCCTTATCCATCAGTCAAATGCATCCTGGGCAGACTGTTGGGTTCAACCTCCTACTGAGTCGGTGAAAGTCCGACGAAACAGTCTCTCTGGCACAGTCACGCTTTTTTTTCAAATGGAATTGAGTATAGCGAGCATGTGTGCTGAACTTACAGAATCAACACAAGCACACACACACACACACACACACACACACACACACACACACACACACACAGAGTGTCACACACAGACGCACACGCACCCGTGCGAAATCAACAAACGAATACACAAGGGCCAGCAAGCCAGAAGAAAGTACATTGTGATCTTTTTTCCATCCTTGCTGTGGAGACAAAAAGGAAGAATAACAAAGCCACGATTTGAATGTACACACACACACACACACACACACACACACACACACACACACACACACACACGCACACGCACCCGTGTGAAATCAACAAACGGATAGACAAGGGCCAGCAAGCCAGAAGAGAGTACATTGTTATCTTTTTCCATCCCTGCTGTGGAGACAAAAAGGAAGAATAACAAAGCCACAATTTGAATGTATTACCCGTACATTGTTATCTTTNTGAATGTATTACCCGTACATTGTTATCTTTTTCCATCCCTGCTGTGGAGACAAAAAGGAAGAATAACAAAGCCACAATTTGAATGTATTACCCGTCTTCTCCCGAATAGAACGTACGATCATTATAGCTGCATTTGAAGCAGCTTTCAGTCTAGATACTAGCACTATGACGGTCACTACAGCCGTGCATTTGAAGCAACTTTCAGTCTAGATACCGGGCATTATGACCGTACGTTCTATTCGGGGAAGGACGGGTAATCTATTTGAGTTCGCATAACCATATCTTTTTTACCGATTCACATGCTCAGTTAAACTTTTCTATTATATACATATCGTCATATATATATATATATCGTCACAAACAGAACTGCCCGGTAAGACCGTAGGCAGAGAGAGAGAAGAGGACAACAAACGAGGGGCTGTGACAAACTGTTTCGTCGGAGTTTCACCGACTCATCAGGAGGCTGATATATATATATATATGTATATATTGTCACAAAGTTATCAGAGCGCAAAAGCGAAAAAAAAAAAAAAAGGGAACAAAAAAGATATCAATTCATTTTTATCTTCTTTCTTACAACTCCCCCTGTTCAGAACCTCTTGCATACAAGGCCGCCCACGTGGATGTAGGTTGAGCGGCGGCTGCCCCCACCCCCGTGAGTCATATCGACCCACTTGCACACAGCCAAAGGGCAAAGAGGCAAAGAAAAGAGGAAGGGAACAGCCAAATACAACAAAACAGGGGGCAACAAGCAACAGCACCAAAACAGATCCTAGATGACACCGCCCCTCCTTCACAGGCCAAACGACGGGACAAGACCACCCAGGACAAAACTCTCGTCTGCAAAAAAAAAAAAACATAAATCCCAGATTACATATCTATATACAGCAGATGGCCTTATTCGTCATCAAGACGTTGGTATCCCCATTTGTAAACCGTTCGAACTGGGACCAAAAACAGTAAAGACAATCCCAGATGACGATTCCCACATAAAAGCAACGCCCAAAATATATATTTTTTAAATCCTGGAGAACAAGGGAGAAAGGGGACAGGAGGTAGAAGAAGACAACAAGACACTTACTGAGAGCTGAAAAAAAAATAATAAAAAAAAAATGATGTACACCGTCGATCACCAACATGGCAAAACAATATTCACAAATGGCGAAAACATACCCACATGTAGTTTACAAAAGAGATACCCAGTAAGTAACCAAGAACATAACCCACCCTGATAACGAATGTATACAAGCTATCTTTCTGGTTAAGTGCAGACAAAAGAAGGGGGCGTTGTGTTCGAGGCAAGAGGGTAGCCACAAGCAGACCACCGCCTCTTCTTCAATCAATCAACACCTTTCTGTGTAGGAGACAATACAACCAGCTTCTCGCCCATGATTGCCTCCCAACCTACACCCCCCCCTCTCCCCCCCTCTTCTCCCTTGCCCCCAACCCCCCTACCCTCTCAAGAGGTATTTGTGCTCGTTCCCACATCTCCTCTACTCCACAATCATTCCCAATACACCATTCATTCCCCTCGCTCCCGACTCTTAACTCCGCTCATTCCACATCCAATCACTTTCGACAAGTTTTGATAACCTCCCCCCGCACTTTTTCCTCCCTCTCCATCTACACCTCATCCTCATCCAACAAGTTCTCATCAACTGCGGCACTTATTCCTCCCTCTCCGTCCCTCTCTTTGTGTATATGTTAACATAATATAAACTCTTCCCATGCGTTTGTACAACCTACCCGGATCTCTCTCTCTCTCTCTCTCTCTCTCTCTCTCTCTCTCTCTCTCTCTCTCTCTCTCTCTCTCTCTCTCTCTCTCTCTCTC